TAAATTGTTAAATAAAAATTCTACTCTCAAGAACAGTGCAAACTCAAAAATTAAAGTTGTATTTTAAAATTTCTTCTAATACAAAACCCAACCCAATTAACAGAAATTAGAAGTTGGAATATAAGATTGAAGAAAACGGAAATGTCAATATATTTTCAACGTTAGAAGGAATGACGAAGAAGAATTTGACAGAATATTAGCTCAGAAGAATGACTTTTTTTACTATCGGCTTAATAGAGGAAAAAGCTTTTATATAAACGTATCTCTTGATTTTAAAGGGAGCCAACGGTTAAAGGAAAATTTTAAAAATTGGTTACAAATAGAAGCATCGCAACCCTTAGAAAATACACCTTCTTTATCAGTATTTTTATCATAATTAAATAATATTTATAATTATTATTATATACTATATGATATTTGCCCACTTATTATATAATAATTAATATATTGGATCAAAATAATGGAAGGAAGATGTTGAATATTTGTATAATACATAACTAAAGGTAGCTAACCAAACATTAAAGCTTTGGAATGAAAGATTCTTTTTCATATTGTACCTAAATTCTTGTTGTTCTGTAATGGAGGCATATGAGACTTGTACTCTATCATGTTTTAACAAGAATATTAGGATTTTCTATTAAATTCATTGAAAGTGGCCTCTCTCTTTGTTACATGTATAGAAAATCTCATTCAGAGTGTCCCACAACAGCTCTATCTCTCTATTTTAAGCTATAATTGAGAAAACTTTAGTGCCATGAAGAAATGTACAAAACAAATAATATATTTTAGATTTTCATGAATCTTGTTTTTCTTCTACTTCTTCAAAATAATATTAACCAGTAACTTCAATATTGAATTTTAATCATAACCCTAATATCCCGTACTTTAAATTTTTTAAGTGCCTGGACAACCTAAATCATATTGTTAGCAATTGGAATGCCCAAATCATTAACATTTTATGCCCAATCAAAGTATCTCTGTCTCAATGTTATAATAATTTTTAGATATATATACAATCCATGTATAAAGTACTTAAAATATATTATTTTTATATCCCAAGATAATTATAATGTATTATTGTAAGTTTTATTCATGTGTAAAAATAATATTCCAAACCATATCATGCATAAGTAAAACACAATAATTATGAGATCATGACCATTATCCTAATGTTTATAAACATTAAATTGTATAACTCATAGATGATTGATAATTGTAATGTAAAGGTAGTATAACCTGATTTTATCACTTTCTTCCTCGTAATCCATTGCTTCGGTGCAGTTGTTTTTGCTATGCACTTTATAGTCATATCTTTGACCATTAATATATGGATGCACCATTGAAAAGATTTGAGAGCCAAAGAGTTCATCCACGTTGCTTTTAACACATTTTCTCCTCTGATCTGCTAGCGACGTAGCTTGTTAGTGCAAGATGGTCTAATTATATACATAATAATAATCTATATAAACCCAATGCATCTCTTTTCTTAATGCTTAGTCTAATCAACACTCATTCTTGTGAACATGATTCAATATGTATTCGAATTATGCTTACATAATTCTATTAATCATAATGCAATTAAAAAGTTGATACTAATAAAAATTCAAGCATAATATACTGAATATTTGAGAATAAAATAATTAAACTAAATATTGAATTATATTCTAAGATCTTTTTGAATATTTGGATCTTTGTAACAATTGTTGATAAATGTGTCTACGAAAGGACCTATTAAAAGAAGACATACTACTTATTAGTAACTACTATTTATAAATTTTTCATGGACGTAGTACTATCATTTGTCATTTATTTACTATCGAAACGAAAAACCATCCGAATGAAAAGGAATTCTTACAGTGCACTCACCGCATGTCAACAAAATATCGGAAACCTTTAGAAGTTTTTGAAGAAAAAATATATATACACACATTATTTTTTTTATTAAAGGCAGCGTTTTGTTTTTCAACTAATTAAAGCAACGAATGAACAGAGTTCAAATTTGGATATTTAGTTACATACTAAAAAGCCATAACCTTTTAGAAAGGGCACTTAAAATTAAATTAATTTTTTATTAATAAATATTAGATTTTTAAGAAGAGTATTTCAGTAATTTAACTTTTATCGAAAAGTATCAAAAGAATGAAAAGTCATGATTTGTTTCTTTAGCCTTGGTTAGTAACGATTTATTTGTTTATTAGATTAAGGAAGTGATGATTTATTACTTTTAGCTTTGTAATTTGAACGGTTGTGACTATTAATGAAGGGGTATGAAGCACTAATATAGTGATGTTTGTAGCGTTGTATTTTTTAAATTTTCTAAATAAATTATAAGTCATATAGAAAGGTAATTTGATAATTCAACTTTTCACTTTTGAACTTCCCGCTTTTATAATAATTAATCTTAGTGTAGCGTTGCGCGTGTCCCTCGTGTTAAAGAAAATAGATTTTTAAAAATAACATAAATAATTTTCAAATGATGTGTTTCTATTATAACGTAAGAATTAACAAAAACTTACAAGTTCCAAAATGATAATATTTGGGAGTTTGATTTACTCTAGTGGTTTTTCCCTCAATTTGTTCGCTTACTTGCTTCATTGTATAAAAAAAGTCATGAAAGCAGCGTTGATTGAAAGGTAAAAAGATCGTTCAACTTTGCCTGAGCACTTGCTTAGGTGTATTGCATGTATATGGTATGTTACTTATTACACGAATTGTGTTAAAAAAATTGAGAAACTTTTTACCTATATTTTACTCATTTTAATGGAATTTCTAAACTATAACCTTATTCTATTCATGCCTAAATAATCATATAGGCATCCGAACTCGATTATTATAAATAATTTTATAAATTTTTAGCTCGATCGTTATCTTATTTTACCTTGGTTCTTTTCTAAAGTACTTTTATTTGCTTCTAATTATATATATACGTTATTTTTCTATTCTTATTTCTTTGTCCAAAATATTGATCAATCTTTTTACCGTTTAATATAATTTCACATTTTGAAAAGATTGTCATTTGATTTATTTCTTAATATGTAGACAATAAAAGTGGACAAACGAATTTGAGTATACTTCAAATTCTAAGTCCTTCTATTAGTCAAAGAAAAAAGTAAGTCCTAATTGCTAAGTCTAAATTCATATCATCTCAATATAATGCTTCCATATTTTTTTAATCAAAACTAAGTTTTAAATGTATTTTTTGTACGTGCCTTAGCTAAAATAATTGGATTATAATTGTTACATCCTAATTGAACTGTACCTTTTTTAACTTTATCTGCATGCAGTGAAAATAAGTATATTAGACAGCTTAACCCTTCGGAGTTGCCCAGTTGATTTGGAGGGTTGTCATATATACGGATGACCTGAGATTGAATCTCCCTTAATGTTTTATGGATTGAGCCTGTCGCACATGGCTTGCCTAGTGCGGTTTACCTCCCCTGTGTGATTTGCAGACTATTACACAGGGGGAAGTTTACCTAGTGCGCACTAAATGTAGCGGCCTCGGGTTTCCCTCTTATAAAAAAAAATAATTGAAATTTATTTAACACTTTAAATAAGAAAATGGCTTATATAAGTAAATGTTTTCTTGATTTTGTATTCCTAAATATTAGAAGTTCCTACATAATTCCAATTATGAAATGAAATTTTTAGTTGATTTTAAAGTCCTAAAAATTAGAAAAATTAATTTATAATTGCTTGATCACTATTTTTTCTTTCTTACTTACTTAGAAATAATATTTAATTCATTATTTAAGTAATTTAATAATATAGATTTTTTTTTAAAATCACGATATTAAAAAATTAAAATAAAGCTTGATCATAATAATCTGAGCTTAAAATATTAATTTAAAAATTGTTTTGAGATAGTAAGGACAAATGTATTATGTTGTTCAAAATTGGAAGGTAACTTTGATTGTTATATTAAAAAGTTGGAGAGCAAAAATAATTTTATCGGGAAAAAACATGACACTAATTTTGAACCAATATTATACCTTAAATAATATATAAATAATTGCTAGACATTGTTACAGCTAAAATGATAATATGAGGGAACTATCTAAATTTAGCATTAGAGAAAACTGAATCAAACAATATTAGATGAAATCCTAAATCTATATGTGTATAGTTCATAAATGTTGAACAATTCTTTCATATTATTTACTTTTAGCCAAAACTTATTGCTTGGAATGTCAGGTCCACGTCAAATTGTCTAACAAGGAGTAGTAGGAAATTATTTAAAATTCGATATTATTGAAACTAACTCAAATTTCATAGTGTTATACATCATGCACGACAATAGTGTTAAATTATAAACAAAAAATAGAATAGAATTAAAAATTAAAAATACTAAACGAATTAAGGGACAATCTTATAATACTTTGGGGAAAGGATAAGATAAAAATTATAAAAGGAGTTAGATTCAAGGGATAGCAACACCGATTCTAGGTGGTGGGAGAAAATGCTATTTGTAATTCTAAAAGTGAATAACAATGATTACTTAATTGTAGCTTACACGATTCTAACACGGACTTAAAATTATTCTATTTTAAATGCCTCAATTTTAGGAATACATACATGATACAAATAAGTAAATATTTAATAATCAAAATTCTAAGTGATTTTAAAAATTTAAATATTAGGAACATAATTAAATTACAAGTTTGTCCAATATGAAATCGATTTTTGAAGGATAAAAAGGACGAACGATATTTCGTTAAGGATTTTTGTGCTTTTAATATATATATATATATATATATATATATATAGAGAGAGAGAGAGAGAGATAGAAAATAGATAGTTAGTAAAGTAAAGTAAAGTAAAGTAGGAGATTGAAGAGAAATAAAAAGACAGTTTGGATATATAAACTCATAAAGAAAATTATTATAGGGATGAGAAAGGCAAAGAAAATATTGTAATAATTAATTTACAAGTGTGCCCCCGGCACTATTTTTCTATACTACTCACTCCTATAGTATATATATTTAGCATATATGGGAAATTGTTGGTACTAGGGTTTGGTCGATAGTTCCGAAGAAATGGCCGATAGTGAATCGAGGCAATTTTCACCTGATAAGGAGCCATGTTTTGCAGAAGAACTACTTGACTGGCAGAGGAGGGAACTGCCCCGCAGGTTCTTGTCTGGTCAGGTTGTCTGGGATGACGACGCTTTCATCCCCGAAGGCGCTTCGGAGAAGCACAGGGTTATATTTCGCAGAATTTATAGGAAATACTTCCTTCAGATTTTTGCTTCGGATGTTCGTCTTCTTTCACTACTCTTTTATTCTAATCTTGCATTATATGTATACACACACATCAATTAGAGCTGGTCAAATTTCTAATTAGAGCTTACAATTGTTATCACTTTCAACAATTCCAAGTTTTTCCCAGTTTTACTTTTAGTTGGCTAAGGCTGTTCTTAACATTAGGAGTATATTTTTAGAAAATTAGTTGTTTAGCCTGCTTATTGTCTGAGCATTCTTAACAACTAATTTGTAATATCCCAAGCTCTGCCCAGTCTGAGCTCCTTAATTTTGTTTAGAGCCTTAAGTGTGGCAGACAAGATTATGGGGCTTACTTGGTTACGTGTTAAAATAAATTTAGGAATTCATGGCTGTTTTGGTGGTACTTTTAGCCATAGTGTTCAAGTGATTTGATTAGCCCCTGTTCTCTTTATTTTATTTAGCAAATAGACCAAATTCTAAAACAGCATGTTAGCTCCACAAATTAAACTTCTTTACTTGATTGAATATCAGCTTCTTTGACTTTCGGCTTCAATTATGACCCCTTCTTGTTATCGCTTGAGTATGAATTCATGACTGATTGGCTTATTTGGCAGGGTTTCGACATTGACATCTATCCGGGTAAAGCCAAGGCAGCTATGCTTATACCATACCTGGATTTTGAGAAAGAAATTGACTTGCTGATGGAACTGGCTAACCATGCTATTCAGGATTACAACAGTAAAGAAACCAATGTAGGCCTTTATTCATCTTATCATCTTTGCTCTGGTTGAACAATCTCCCTCACCCCAAGTGTCCTTACAGTATTTTCTACGTGCCTTGCAGGTTTACAAATACGAGGTCTTGTATGTTGAAAAAGTGAACTTTATTTTGGCCGAATGCCGCGAATTTTTTATGACTGTTAAAGTTAAAAATCTCACTCTGCGTTCACCTAAAGAAACTTTTCAAATCCATGCATATAAAGGACCAGATGGGGAGAATATTTTCTGCCTTTGCCGGAGAAAATTGCTGGTTTGAGGTATACAGATTTTGAATGAATCTTAGTGCTATTTGTTTACGTTGTTTCTTTGGCTTTGGTTGTTCAATTTTTGTGGATATGGATATCAGATGATTTACCTGTGGATAGGCGTTCCAACTATGTGATTGTCCAGCTCTCCATTGTTAGGTGACTGGGTGAGAATTTCTGCAGTGTGTAGCCTGTATATAGACTCACAATGTGTTAGTGGTTCAGAGATTCCACCATTTTTTTGCAGTGAAACTTATTCTAAAGTATTTTCCAACATCCTAAAGTTTGACTATCCTTCATAAGGGAAACATAGATTGGTCCAGAAGGCCCGGTGATGCTTCCCACCATTCTCCATGCCTGACCAGAAGAATCTTGCAATATATTTTTCAACAATGTCAATAGTTAATAGTTCCTTTAAAAGGATGAACAACTGGCAGAGTGTGGAGTGTGGATGTTCAGAGCAAGTAGAACGTGTCTTATATTCCTTTACTCTGTTAATTATTGTACTCACCATTTCAGAGAAGATAGAAAGCTTCTTCCTTATTTAAGTTCAAGGACATGCATGATGTTTCATGGGGAGTTTATCAAATCTCATTCCTAAGATTCTTCCCACTCTTCAGATGACTCTTTGGGATGTATTAGGTGCCATAGTGTAGCGACTCTTAGTTCTCTTTATCAGATGCCCATAAAACATTCTCATAACTCGCGACTCACCATAGTATTGAGAACGAGTTGTACTGAGATGTCACCTCCACTGCTAATAATTATAGTATCATTAACAGAGGTTAAATGATTAATTTAAGGGCCATAAACCCATAGCTGCTCATAAAGCTATATTTCCTGCTGTTGTGCAATGCATTAAGCATGCAATAGTAACTCTGCAGTGAGGACACAAAGAGAGGGTGTTAGAGGGTGGTCACCCTAGATCCCTCGGTGAGTTGAAGAAACCATGTTTGCTACCTAGGAGTATCAATTGTTTGAGATGAATTTGTAAATGAGGTTGATCTAGAATTCTAAACCAAGACACTTTACTGTATGTTTTGGCCATATCTAATTGATCACCACATTGCCACCCTTCATAGGTTTGCAATATCATCTACAATCTCCTGGGCTAGTGGTATATTGTCCGTAATAACTCTCCCCTTGACAAAATCACTCTGATTTTGAGTAATTATTTTGGGCCGTGTGATATTGAATCTGGCATTTAACACCTAGCAATGATCCTGCTAGATACATTGCATAGGCTGATAGGTACTAATATCTGTATAGCGTTTAGGAGATTCAATTTGGGTAACATGTCAAGGCATGTATGAGTAAAGAACTTAGGGAGTGTAGCTCCAAGGAAGAAGGCCATACCTGCTTCATAAATATCTTTAGCAATAATAGGCCAGGCTGTTTGGTAGAACCTTTCATTGAGACCATCTGGACCAGGTGTACTGTTTGGATATATTGAGAACACACTTTCCTTTACTTCCTGCAGTGTAGAAGCTGTAAGGACTGCATTGTCCTCCTCTGTGACAACTTTCTTCACAACATTTAACACCTCACAATCTCCAGAGATGTCTTCAGCACTGAAGAGTTGTTCAAAGAACTTCACAGTTGCTTTTGCCACATCTTTAGTACCATCCACCCACTGTCCATCTCCATCTCTGATTTTCTGTATGTTCAGCTTCTTAGTCCTATCTTTATTAACCCCATGAAAGAAAACAGTGTTGGTATCTTCCCCCTTAAGCCATTTCACTCTTGCCTTTTGTTTCTACACTATCTTGTAGTTTTAGAATCTGGTAAACTCCGCTCTTGCCCCTGGTAAATTCATTCAATTCTCTCGACTATTATCAGACACAACAGCCTCTTCCAAACTCCTAATTAGAACTCCCATACTCTTTGGCTCTTCACGAGTATCACCAAATGCAGTTCTAGACCATATACTAAGGGCGTTGCAAACTCTCTAGTTTCTTGGTGCAGAATGAGAAGAGGATTACCTGCCACGTCGTTAGACACCAAGCATCTTGGGTTACTTTGGATAATCCTTGTGATCTACCCATATTTTTTTTATAAGTAATGATATTTTATAAATGGTATAACTGCACTAAGACAGTGTGTTAAAAGTTACAAAGTTTGCAATGCCTGGATCATATCTAACATGGAATCACACAGTTTACAAAGGCCATGTTGCACCAAAAAGCTAGCAAAGAAATACATTTGTGTTTAAGACTATGTATGTTGTTAACTTTGCCTTCAAAAATTCTATTGTTTCTTTCAGTCTAAATTGTCCACCAAATAACCATGGGAATAGTGTTGCACTTTTCAAAGCTTGTGTGTCTTCCTATTGAGACCATCTATTCTCCAGCTACGTAAGAAATCCCTTAGAGGATATTAAATTTAATTTTAGGAGGTTGCAGATGGAGTTTGAGTATCAAGGGAATTACTCACCTTACAGAGTATTAAACCAAAATTTAAAACCGTTGAGGCCAGGACACTGAATAAACTGTCAGTAGGAACTTCACAATTCTTTATGGTTCAGGTAAAGAGTGCAGAATCGGAATCCTTAGAACTAATGGAACAACAAAAAGATGAACCTACGCTAGTTAAAAGATTACTGGAAGAATTTAAGGGAATCTTTGGTGAGCCAAAAACACTACCCCCTTCAAAGGGTGTGTTTGTTGATCATATCCCTACAATGGAAGGCAACTCTCATGTCAATTCTAAACCCTACAGATACTCACATGTTCAAAAAGATGTCATTAAAAATATGGTCCAAGAGATGATAAACCAACAAATTATTCAGTACAGTTCAAGCCCTATGCTTCCCCAGTGGTTCTGGTGGGGAAGAAGGATGGGTCATGGAGGCTATGTGTGGACTACAGAGCTTTGAACAAGGTGACAGTGAAGACAAGTTTCTTATTCCTGTCATTGAGGAGTTATTGGATGAGTTGGGTGGTTCTCAAATCTACTCAAAGATAGACTTGAGAGCAGGATATTATCAGATCAGAATAGCATCTTCTGACATTCAAAAAACTGCTTTCAAAACACATTCAGGACACTATGAATACTTGGTCATGCTCTTTGGGTTAACCAATGCACCCTCTAGTTTCTAAAGTCTGATGAACCTTGTCTTTCAAGAACATCTCATAAGGTTCATCTTAGTGTTTTTTTATGATATATTAGTATATATCAAGAGCTTAGATGACCATTTGCATCATCTCAGAATCACCTTTGAGTTGCTGGCCGAAAATTAGTTGTTGGCAAAAAAGAGTAAATGTGTGTTTGTTGCCACCAAGGTAGAGTACTTGGGTCACTGTATCTCAGCAGATGGGGTAGCTACAGATCCCAGAAAAAGTAGTTGTTGTGCAAAACTGGCCTCAACCTGCATCCTTCAAGCAATTGAGAAGTGTTTTGGGGCCAGGTGGGTATTATAAATGGTTTATAAGGAACTATAGAATGATTAGCAAGCCACTCACTGAATTGCTCAAGAAGGACAGCTTCAATTGGACAGAAAAAGCAGCTAAAGCGTTTAGCAAACTCAAGGAGGTACCCACTTCAGCTCATGTGTTGGCACTTCCTGATTTCTCCTTACTTTTTATAGTAGAGATAGATGCTTGTAATATGGGGATTGGGGCAATGTTGATGCAGAAGGGTCAACCCATTGCCTTTCTCCGTAAGGGACTCTCTAGTCAACAACAGTCATTGTCAGTGTACAGCAAAGAACTACTAGGTTTAGTAATGGATGTGAACAGGTGGTCATAATACCTGACAGGAAGAAACTTTGTGGTAAAACAGATGAGAAGGTTCTCAAATTCTTGTCAGAGCAGAAACTACACATTGGAACTCAGCTGAAATGGATCACTAAATTGATACAGTATGACTTTACCATTGAGTATAAGAAGGGAAGGGGGAATAAGGTTGCAGATGCCTTGTCTAGAATGCATATGATAGAATTGTCTATCGTGACCTTATCAACTATGAAAACTGAGCTCTTAAACTTAATTGTTCAAAGTTGGAATCAGGATTCAGAGTTGGCAGAACTAACAACAACAACAACAACAACCCAGTATAATCCCACTAGTGGAGTCTGGGGAGGGTAGTGTGTACACAGACCTTACAACTTCCATGGGGTAGAGAGGCTGTTTTCGATAGACCATCGGCACCCTTCCTCCAAGAACTCCCCGCCTTGCTCTTTATTAGTTGGCAGAACTAATAAAAAGATTGAAGGAAGGAGACAGAGAGGCCAAGGGGTATACCTGGATACACGATCAATTAAGAAAAAATGGCAAATTTGTAGTAAGGGCTGATCGAGAACTCAGGAGGAATATTATAAACCTCTGGCATGACACTACAACAGGTGGTCACTCAGGCATTGATCATACTTACAGGAAGTTGGCTGCTTTGTTTCATTGGAAGGGATTGAGGGAGGATGTCCAAACTTATGTCAAGGCTTGTGATGTGTTCTAGAGGCACAAGTATGACACTGCACCTTATCCAGGGTTGTTACAGCCTCTCAAATTACCAGAATCAGCCTGAAGCAGTATCAGTATGGATTTTATAAAAGGCCTACCAAAATCTAAGAACAAGATAGTGATATAGGTAGTGGTCGACAGACTAACTAAATATGCACACTTCATACGATTGTCTCATCCCTACTCAGCAAGTGGTGTGGCTAAATTGTTCATGGAGCACATTCATAAGTTACATGGGATGCCTAAGGATATAGCGAGTGACTGAGACCCCATATTTACTAGCAAGGTATGGCAAGAGCTCTTCTCAATGATGGGGGTCACTCTCAATACCTCCACCACCTACCATCCTCACTCAATAGATGCCTAGAGACTTATCTCAGATATTTCTGCTCAGATTCTCAGAATGATTGGTATTTATACCTAGCTACAACTGAGTGGTGGTACAATACCACATTTCATACCTCCATCCAAACTACACTTTATGAAGCCTTTTATGGGCAACCTCCCCATCTACAGTTGCCATATGATGCTGGTGATTCTGCTTTGGATGAGGTGGACAGGAGTTTACTCACTAGGGAATACAAACTTCAATTGTTGAAATTCCATTTGTAGAGAGCACAACAAAAAATCATTGATCAGACTAACAAGAACAGATCTGATATGCAGTACCAGGAAGAGGACCGAGTTTATATGAAGATACAACCTTATAGGCAGGTTTCTATGTCTGGCCACCATTTTTCTAAGCTTTCTGATGGGTATTATGGTCCCTACCAAATTCTCCAGAAAGTGGGGAGTTGTTGCATACAAATTATCTCTGCCCTCTCAACTATTGCTTCATCCCACTTTCCATGTTTCTCAACTGAAGCTATACCACAGTTTACCTAAAGCAATTAACCATCCACCTGTTGTGGAACTTTCAAGTCCATATTGCCCATAACCTCAGAAGATTCTGGAAAGGCGTATGGTACGGAAGGGAAATAAGACAGTCACACAAGTATTGGTGCAATGGGATAAAATTCCACCTGATTATGCTACTTGGGTGGACTACCAGACCTTATGAATTCGTTTCCCTAACTTCCTTTCTTGAGGACAAGGAAGTTTTTAGGGCGGGGGAGGGGAACTGATATGAATATTATACAATAAGAGTGTAAAGAGCAGTACCAGTAACTTTGAAGTTGGTAGGATGTTAGGATGTTTTGTCCGGCAGTGGGGTGTATAAGACCCTTTGTAATTATCTTAATTGGACAAGAAATGAATCTATCTTAGCTAACCCTAGCTTCTTCTTATTTTCTTCTTAGTTGTAGCTCGATTCTCTCTTAGATTCCAGTTATCGTAACAGAGAGGGAGGGGAGAGCTGTGTTAGAGTGTCTCTATAAGTTGAGGTAGTTGCATGTTGTCTCCAAATATTAGATATTATATGAAGCAGTCGAAATGTAGAAGTTGTTAGAGTATTAATTTTAGTTAGTTATTCCCTTCTTCAAACTATAGCTGTTTAATAATTTGAAATGGTAATACCAGGTCATAATAGTACGAAGTGGTTGTTGTGGATTAGTTATCTCATGCATCTTGTTTATTTTCCTTCATTTACTTTCTATTATTTACCTCCTACTTAGTTCCTAATAATTTGTCAAGTGCTTATTTCTTTAAATTATGAATAGCAGAATGCTCAATTTGGGCCTATTAGAACTTAATCTTATTTGAATTTGACTAGAGACTCAAGTGAGAGAATCCAGAACATTTCACAGAGACAACCTATCAGTTGGCAGCGGGCGCATAAGCAGTGGCGGAGCCATATGCTTTTAAGGGGTGTCAATGACACCCCCTTCAACGACAACAATAATAAAAGCCCAGTGTAATTTCACAAATGAGATATGGGGAGGGTAATGTATTCGCAGACCTACCCTTACCTTGTTAAGGCAGAAAATTTTTGTAGACCCTTGGTTCAAACAACAATGAAAATAAAGTAACAGACAGGAACAACAATAATATAATAAAAGCAAATAGCACAACATGGTATAGTAAAGAACCAGGAATAAGAGAAATACAAAAATAGTACTAGCACTACTAGTAAGACTAAGTGACACTAGCGACTACTTGTCATCCTTCCACCTTAATTCCCATCTTTAATTTTTTTCTATCGAGGGTCATGTCCTCGGTAAGCTAGAGCAATAGCATGTTCTGCCTAATCACATCACCCCAATATTTCTTAGGCCTACCCCTACCCTTCCTTTGACCCACCATGATCAACCTCTCACACATCATGACCGGGACATCTATGTCTCTCCTCTGCACGTGTCTGAACTATCTCAACCTCGAATCTCGCAATTTGTCCTCCACCTGTCACGACCCCAAATTCCCTCTGTAGGATGTCGTGATGGCACCTAGTCTCTAAGACTAGGTAAGCCTATCAATGCGGAATAATAATAAATATCTGAAATAATTAAACTACAATTCAAACAATTTCAACTCTCAAAATTCGGTAGTAATAAGTCACAAGTTTCTAAGAATTTATTCTCAATGTCTCTATATATCAAGAAGAAAAATAAGGAAGCAACATAAAAATGATAGAAGGGGACTCCGGAGTCTGC